CGTTTAGAAGACTTGAGTGAATCAGAAAAACACGATTTATCGGATGCTATGAAGAGATTACTTATTAAATACGATAATTTGTTTGAAATATCTTTCCCATATTCCATGGGATTTCATGGTTTGTATTATGTTTTATCAATCAATCGGTTATTACCGCAAAACGTCGTTCAATATTTGCTATAATGTGAAATTGTATGCATCATAACAACACATTATAACATAATCCCATAATGAGTGCAACTATTGTGTAACTAAATCCCATAACAATTTCGGTAATTTATGAATCACACAGAATGTGCAAACATTCACTTATAATTGCACTATGTATTCGACAATTTGCGGTAATTTCTGGCAAATAAAACTAAAAAGTTGCAATTTTTTTTGTATATTTGTATTAACACTAATAGTGGCTCATTCCTAGTTTAGATGCACTTAATAGATTTGGCCGCCGAGTGGATATTGGATAGCCCTTGGTCAGTAGTACCGAGATATGGTTACCAAAGTTTGCGGAAACAATTGGTTTTCGAGATAATCGGGATCAAAGTTGTGACTTTTCCCATTGAAACCCATTGTTTCGAAAACCAATTGTTTCCGCAAACTTTGGTAACCATATCTCGGTACTACTGACCAAGGGCTATCCAATATCCACTCGGCGGCCAAATCTATTAAGTGCATCTAAACTAGGAAAACTCCCTAATAGTCTACCAATATAAGTAATGGATACTGTATTGGTATTGTATGTATTGTGGAAATATTACACATTTAATTTGATTACAATGATAGGAGCGCCGACCGGAGACCATTACGCTAAAGACATGAACCATTGGGTACTTCACGCCATATATTATCCGCCACTCTTGAGGTCAGCGACTGTCAAGAAGTTTATGGTTGGATACGAAATGTTAGCGCAATCACAACGAGATTTGACACCAGAACAAGTCATTACTTACTGTTTACATAGTATTGCATTAATTGTTATTAATAATTGTTTTTGTATCGATAGGCGGCTCAACGACTGCGAGAAACGCCAGAAATTCATTACAAGAAAAGAGTTTAAATGAAGACAATTATTAAGAATATATTTACAAATTATTTAATTGTTTTTTGAGTAATTGATTACATTATTAAAAGTAAATCAGAGTTAATACAACTAGTTTAGGGGAAATATAATAGAAATGAAATAATAAATTGTACTCAAAATAAAATAAAATTGTTTTTAAATTAAAATTAAAAATAACACAATATTTTGAGCGCAACTACTCATCAGTTGTAGAAAGACTGCAATATATTTATATACAGTATATGTATATATAATTTGTTAGCAAATCAATCATTTGATTATAATTATTATTTAATTAAAAGTATTCAATCACTAAATGGTTAGAAATTAAAATAATCATAAATGGGAAGCAAAGCATAATCGCTGTTAATTATCAATTAATAGGTATCTCTTCTCTTCATTATCTTCTATATTCTCAGATATTATTGTTATATAAGAAAAATATTAAACAATATTTACTATATATTTTGCTAATGTATTTCATGTGTTAATGTTTATCACATTTTAAAATATTTTCTTATAAAAGAGTAATTTTTTAATAATAAATCTGAGAATAAATGGGATTTAATGGCAGATATGGCGGATGAGCACTGGATTAACACCAAAACAGATACCGGTTTTTGTTTTTTGTTGATTCCATTCACCCATACATTAGTTTTTACATATTACCGTAATACCTGGCTTAGAAATGCATGCAATACTAAGTCAATATCAGTAAAGGGGTGCAATACTATCTAGGTAAGATTGCACTCTATTTTAGGGCAATTGGAATTTGTGTTGAAAATGATATAATATTGCATTAATTTATATGCTTTTATAAAAACAGTACAATTGTTTTAAAAGTCGTTTTGCCTAAAAACTTTGACTTAACTATTGAATATTCATTTCTTGTCAATCATTGTGTTTAATTAGAATAGAAAGTCTCGAAATTTAAAACTGCTTGTAAATTCTGACATAAATAAAGTGATAAACATTGATATAAGTGATAATTAAAGTCTCTATTTTTCGGAATTCCCGATTAAATTTAGTTACTTGCATAATCGGGAATAACATCCCATTAGTCTGGAGGGTTATAAAGACTCCAAAATACTGTATATCATTTTAATTTTCCCGATTTTGGCATATTTTGAGAAAACTCCCGAAAAGCTCATTTTATTCCTCATTTCCTACAATTTATAACTCATTTTAAGCGACAAAAATACCAAATAACTTCATTTACATGCTTAATTTTATAAGATTTTGTTCCTGATTTTATTCCCGAATTTGACTGTTTTATACTCCCAATTCGCGCCCGAATTTCAATGTTTTTATTTCCGAAAAATAGAGACTCTAGTGATAATGACTTGGATTTGATGTTAAATAGTGACAAATGTAATTCAGACACAAAGTTGATCACAAATAATGTGGCCAAAGATATGTCTTAGCCGGCGGTCTCAGCTCAGCGAAAAATCCTATCGCTTTATATTCTGTATTGAATTTTACATACTATTGCATGCAATCATATGTCATTTTTAGTGAAGGGGTGCAATACTACCTAGATAAGATTGCATATGATAATAAATCTGAGAATAAATGGGATTTAATGGCAGATATGGCGGATGAGCACTGGATTAACACCAAAACAGATACCGGTTTTTGTTTTTTGTTGATTCCATTCACCCATACATTAGTTTTTACATATTATTGAAAATATTCGCACAATTTTATACATAAAATGTCATTTTGTGAGTGAAATTATAAAATGATTGAATAGAAGATAATTTAAGTGAATGGAGGCCCGCATAGACATCATGACTCGCCGTTACCGCTGTCTTCATTGTCTTCGTTGTCGTCCTCATTGTAATCGTCGTCTTCGTCGTCGTCCTCCATATCGTCGCCGTAATCGTCGTCATAGAAGTCAGTCATATCGGCCTCCGTTTCGTTTGGTTTCGTTCTGTGTTTTATACAATACTCCTCTAGTGTTAGCGGAACCACAACGTTGTCCTTCTCTGCCTCCAAACGACTTGCCGTCACTTGTTTTCTATGCATTTTCAGTACAAACACTATAACTATCTAACAATACATAGCAATCAACAAATGAGTCAATACTTAATGATATTCTCATATTCTTTGTCTCTGCCTTTGGATTCCTTCCAACGCCTATACATAACAGAGGCGTCAACGTTGGCCGGAGAGAAGGTGTTGGGCTCATTGAGCAGTGAGATCACGCTTAACAATACAGTCCTAATCAACACCAAATGCAACCACAATTAACTCCTCGTAATCAACACTTTCACATCCATTCACAACAAGACATTACCTGACATTTTGTGTTGGGTTCCAGCGCTCACACGGGAGTTCACCGCTTTGGGGGTCATCGATAGGCGGGTGTAGTATTGAAATGCATAGATCGCCGTTCTGTGGCATCACAACCAAGCAATTAAGTCATCGTTAATCATATTAATGTGTATAAAATGCAAACTCACTTCATATACGTTCGGATGCCATACTTTTGTTAGAAACTTAATGACAGGCGGATTATATGGATAATCCTGTGGGAAAGTAACTCGAGCCTGAAATACATAAGTCAATACACTTAATACCCAAATTCAATATCATCTATAAATTATAGGTTATAATAGCTTTGCGCTCAAAATACTACTCCAATAACAGCCTTTGGATTCCTTCCAACGCCTATACATAACAGAGGCGTCAACGTTGGCCGGAGAGAAGGTGTTGGGCTCATTGAGCAGTGAGATCACGCTTAACAATACAGTCCTAATCAACACCAAATGCAACAACAATTAACTCCTCGTAAGCAACACTTTCACATCCATTCACAACAAGACATTACCTGACATTTTGTGTTGGGTTCCAGCGCTCACACGGAAGTTCACCGCTTTGGGGGTCATCGATAGGCGGGTGTAGTATTGAAATGCATAGATCGCCGTTCTGTGGCATCACAACCAAGCAATTAAGTCATCGTTAATCATATTAATGTGCATAAAATGCAAACTCACTTCATATACGTTCGGATGCCATACTTTTGTTAGAAACTTAAGGACAGGCGGATTATAGGGATAATCCTGTGGGAAAGTAACTCGAGCCTGAAATACATAAGTCAATACACTTAATACCCAAATTCAATATCATCTATAAATTATAGGTTATAATAGCTTTGCGCTCAAAATACTACTCCAATAACTAATTACTTTCTGTGTATATAATGTATTAATAAATTGTTGTCAAACATAGATATAAAACGTTTGCATTGATATGAATGGAGTTAATGAGTGAGCTATGGATCTATGCTTTGTGTGCCATATATTTGAACCAATTTTGAGGTCAAACTCAATATACGATTCACTATAATATGCCAAACGTTACAAACAATTGGTTTGTTATGTAATAACGTTTCCAAACAATAATCTAAATCTAATTCAAATGGTTTTGCATTAAGTCTTTGTTACGCAATAAGAGTGGAGTAGATGTCAGCTGATTGTATGGGGATTGGGGTCACTGGCCTTCAATGGCCATCACTGGCCACTAATGTCTTACACACTCTTTCCACTCATTAGGTCCCAAATAATAGGACTTATAATTCAATAAATTAGTAAAAACTAAACCAAATTAAGGGATCAATTGATAGTGAAATGCGTGACAAAGGGATGGTTACCTTGAAATATCCGCCCTCATAGAGGGTCTCCGGGGGGCCAAAGATGGCCACTTCCCACTCAAACAGGTGGTCCTCATTCACGAGTTTGACTCGAAATCCTTCGACCGGTTCCTCTTGAAGACTACGAGACAAAGACAACCATTGAAAATGACAATCAATGCCAACAATGTTTGACACCATTTAGTGGTCATATAATTGATTCATTGCTTTCACAACACAATCATATGAGCAGTGATTTGAAATGAAATCACTTTAAATAGACATATGGTTGGAGAGAGAGTGGGATCAAGTGATGGGTGATAATAGACAATAACAAACCTCTTAAACTCGAGGGCCAGTGCTCTCAACGCACTGTTGGGCTGACCCGCCATTTAATGGCTATTATTATTGATAATATGTTTAAATGACTTTCAATTCACACCAATTATGACAACAATTGCTTTAATTTGAATATAAAACTCAACCAAATGTTAGCAAATGCTTGAATGCATTGGTCTTAAGGTAGGAATCAATTGATTGCTAAGTGTTTAGCGTTTAATGTTTTGATGTTTTGTTGAATCAAAGCTTCAATCATATCATATGAAATCATTTGACATAATATTACAGTCTTTACACACTTTGCACAGAGAGGGCGACAATACTTACAACCCTATGATTAAAGCATACATTTTTCGGTCATTCAGAATCACTGAATCAGTCACTGATTCTTCATATAACTGGCCATTAAATCGGTACACAATTGCCAATTAAATTGGTCAAAATGAAGCAATATTATGGTCAATTGAAACAATTATAACTATATAGTATAACAAATTTAATATGCTTTAATTTATATTGATATTCAATTTGACAATTTATTATTCTGTCGTTAATTCGTAAGAATATTATTAAATTGCGAGAAATGTCTTGATATGAATGAATACAATCGTTGTTCACATTGTTATACCTTTTACCACAAAATCTTGCAAATTACAAATTAGTTTCAAAGTATTTTTCGACAAACAAAAAGTTTTTTAATTTGAAACTTTATATTAAGAATCTAAAAATGATATAGATCGCAAAATAGCTTGTTTAAGTTGTACAAATAGGGGGTTTACACTTTAAGATTTAAAACTATCATTAATTTATCGTTTTAATGTGCCTTTCAATGAAAATAACCGCATTTAACAACAGTGTAAATGTTTAATAAAGAAAATGTGTAACCGAACAAAAGTATACACGAAGTACAGTATCCATAATATGGATTCCATATACTATTTTATAGTCTATATACGACATCGTTTATTATAATAGTTTAAATAATCTAAATAATAATAGTAATGATTTATATTACAACGACTAAAATAATAACAGATTAAAAATATATAACGTGTACTATATATTTAAAAAGTTAAGTTGTACATTTCTCGGGCCTTTCATTACCCTTTAACGTAATGTCTATGAGATGTAAATTCCATTAATTTTATAGTAAGTATTAATATTTAGAATAAAAATTTGTAGTAAAAATGCACAAGTAATGAAAAAGTATGCAAATTGTTTGGATGACACAACTTATAAAACAATAATGAATTAAAACTTAATTTATATAATTATATTAAGAATACAATTGTAATGGAATTGCATTATATTTATAGGATTAGCGGGCATTCAGTGTTCATTATAGTGAGTGTTCATCATATTGTCCTCATATAACCCCCGATGTATTGTTGTCGCAACAGTAGCAGTGCACTCGTTTGAACACTTTGAACAAGTGCATTTTACCAACAATTCACACTATGTCATATCAATTCTTTAATCGTGCATTAAACTGAATATGACAAATGTAAACTTGTTTAATTGCTATCAACAATATTGTTATTTAAAATTACTAATATATTATTGCATGTATTGAATTAAAATGTGAAATACAATGTGTATCACAATTAAATTGAGTTATAGTTAATTGAATAAATAAGTTTGTATTGTTTGTCTCACTCATGTTGTATTGATTGTATGGATGTGTTGTACAGTAGTACTGTATTGATACATGTAATGCATGTGTGAGAGTGAGTGAGTGTTTGTGTGATAGAGAGAGAGGGAGAGAGGGAGAGGGAGAGAGAGGAGTGTTGTATTTGCAGCAATGGTAAGCATATCGTAGATGTTGTTTGAGTTGTGAAGTGAGAGTCGAGTCAATCAATTGAATGAAAGGCCGGAAATTGAGATCAAACTAAATATGAGTCCATTTGTCGCTCGTTTGCAAACATTTGGTTAATTCAGTCATTCATACAATTGATTGTCACAAACAATACTTATGTCCCTTTAAATTGTCACTAAAACACTCACATATCGTATCGATTGGTGTATTAAATGCCTGTATTTACTCTATGTTAACATTATTTACATGACTAACACAATATTGTTATCGGATTTAATGATTGTTACCATAATTAAAGTGCTCTAACATTGTGTCAAAATATATAATCCGGACATAAAATGGATCCAAACCTAACACCACATGAAAAGGAGGTAAATGTTATCCCATCTCAACATTTAAGCCATTATTGTTATGATTGAATTGATTGCCATTTGTTATGATTTGTTAACTCATTTGATTGTATTGAATGTCTTCAGGCGTTGAATCAATTTCTGGAAATTGTGAATGAGATCCGTATTCAACACAACACGAGTAATATGTCGACCAAAACGGCGCTCAAGTTTCTGATGGCCCGCAAGTTTGATGTGCACCGATCTCTGGCCTTATATGAAGCTCACGAAATGACCCGATATCGGGAGGGTTTGGCCACATTTGAGCCCAACTCACAGCCCCTTAAGGCTGAGTTGGAAACCGGAAAATTCACAGTTTTGGTCAGTCCTCACATTTGATGTCTCACTCCTTGTGTCACTCATTGATTATTGATCTTTTAATGTGTGTCCGACAGCCCGTTCACGACAGTATCGGTGCCGCCATTGCCATGTTCTCCGCCGGGAAGCACTTCCCCAGTGAGACATCACACCAAACCACTCTTAAGGGTATTCAATGTTAACGCAATCACATTAACTCTGTCTCATTGTCTCATTGGTGTTGTCATTGAAGGTGTTGTCTATCAAATGGATGTGGCGTTAGAAGATGTCGCGACTCAAAGGTCGGGAATTGTGTTCATATATAATATGATTGGTTCCAAGTATTCCAACTTCGACTACGAGTTGAGCCAAAAAATCCTGAGTCTCCTGAAGGGCGCATATCCGGCGCGGCTGAAGAAGGTGTTGATAGTGATGGCGCCGATTTGGTTTAGGGCTCCCTTCAAGATATTGCGACTCTTTGTGAGGGAAAAACTTCGCGATCGAGTATTTATGGTAAACGTGTCACAACTCGGTATTCATATACCGGCCAATGCTTTGCCCCGAGAATTGGGCGGACAGTTGGAAGTGAATCACATGACATGGCTTTCCCGTTGTCTACAGTCTCAGAGCAGTGATATCAATGAGTTGTGTTCTCTCACGTCATCCAAGTCTTTCTCATTGAACACAACCGGTGCTCAATCGGACGGTGCAATAATTGGTAACATTTCCAAGCATTTTAGTGAACAAACCAATAATGGTTTTAGTGATGAAGACGAGCCCTCGTCAGCCAATAGTGAAAAGTGTCTCAATATTGCCAATAATGTGGACAAAAACGGTTCAATACTGTTATCAACGGATTCCGCACACAATAGTAACTCAATATCAAAGACTGCAAAATGCAAACCCGATGTCATATCAGTGCCAACCCATAACATGGGATCCGATCAAAATAATTCCTATCAAAACGGAAAGTCATGCGAAACGGAAACAACACTCGACGACGAAGAAGAAGAGGACCAAAACGCAGGGATGAGTGTCGAAGAGTTTATACAACACTTGAAAGACACTGGAAGGAGAGGACTGCATGACGAGTACAGTGCCATTAAGGCTCGCGGACCCGACGGCACGTTTGAAGTGTCGCGACTGCGAGTGAATCAATGCAAGAACAGGTATACAGACGTGCCGTGTTATGACCGGACACGAGTCAAACTCTCGCTCATCGATGGCGATCCCAATACAGACTATCTTAACGGCAATTATGTTAACGGATATAAACAGAAGAATGCATTCATTTCAACACAAGGTATTGCACATTGTTTTTACTAAATTTAATTATTTACCGATTAATTGCCCGACGGATTGACTAATTGTATGCATTGTCAGGTCCTATGCCAAA